CATCTGCCAGGAAGTCTCTTAAAAAGGTAAATATAGAGAGATGTGCCAAGTTGAAAAGTCCTCCATCAGTTAGTGAATTAACAAATCTCCAGATGCTCCACATTTTGGACTGTAAGGAGCTGAGTAGTATAGGGGAGAGCTTGTCAACGTCCGTAGATCTCAAAAAGTTGATGATAAGGAAGTGTCCCAGTCTGATTTATGTTCCAAACTTACACGGGCTTTCCTCTCTTCATACTTTAACTATAGAGGAATGTGATGGCCTAACAAGTCTACCAAGTGGGTTGTCATCTTGCAGTGCTCTTGAGGAGTTGAGGATACATTGCAATTATCTCACCTCTATTCCAGAGGATTTGAATGCATTTTGTTCTCTTGTTCGTTTAGACATTTCAAGATGTAGAAACTTGATAAGCATCCCAGGGGAAAGCCTTGGCAGCCTTGCTTGCTTGAAAGCATTGTGTATTGGTGGCTTCTCAGAAGAGTTAGAGGTATTCCCGGATCTTAATTCCATCTACCACCTCAAATCCTCCCTGGAGAATTTGACTGTGATTGGATGGGAGAAACTAAGGCATCTACCCCATCAAATTCAACACCTTACTCACCTTAGGAAACTGAGTATAAAAGATTTCCATGGAGTGGAAGCTTTGCCAGAGTGGTTGGGAGAGTTAACCTCTCTGCGTTCTCTGAGTATTATTGACTGCAAGTCTCTGAAACATATGCTATCAATGGATTGCCCGTTTAGATTACAATTCTTTCACATTGATAACTGCCCTTGTTGGGAATATTATTAGAAATGTGACATTCAAACCTGCAAAAATGATGCAATGAAACTGCCATGAAATGGCAGCAATGACGCTGAAAATTGACAGCAAATGAAGCTGCAATTTGACAGAAAATATGACAGCAATTTAGCTGCAACTATGATGGAAATGAAGCTTTCAATTGACAGCAAAAATGTGCAGCAAGCTAAGTTGCAAATGTTGATGAAATGAGGCTGAAAAGTGGCTGCAGAGTCACAGCTACATGGAGCCGCACAAAATGGCAGCAAATCTTTTGAATGTAATCTTGCTTTAAATGTTTGATAGATTTTCTTGTATTAAGTAAAATATTAGGTGAGAAAAAATTATTTTATATTATGTTGTTTCTGCTATAAATATGGTAGAATATCAACGAAATTTCTGAGTTGGAGTGTTATACTCCTCTCCATTTTAGTTTATGTTCTGCTCTTCATCTTCCTCCCGATTTTCTCTCCATTTCTTTTTTGAAAAAATCAACAGCCCTGAGTTAATGCCATAGAGAAAGGTGGTCCTGAGTGGCCCAAGATTTCTAACATTATAAGAGTCAGAATGAACTGACACTGGAGACGAGCTTCCAACAAGGGTATGTTCAACCTTCATTAGATTATAATTTGTTATACGCTCCTGTTACTGATATTGTAATTTCTATCATTTTTAGAAAATGATGCTTGGAACCAAGTATGTTAACACCGATCGAGCTTCCTTTATCCATGAGGGAGCTTCTGGCCTGAGTTGAACTCAGGACTGGAAGGCACCAATCTCTTAAGCTTAGGCGGTAAACCATTAGGCTACAAGGCCAACTTTAGATTGTAATTTGTTTTATGTTCCTCTTTTTTTTACTCTTTGTAATTTGTTCTATGCTCCTTTTTTTTTTCTTGTCCAAATATGTGCTCCTGTCATTGATATTGTAGTTTGTATCACTTTTAGAAAATAGTCAAGAAGTATGAAGAAGGGTTGGAAGCGGAAGCCAAGAGTCGATGGTCACAACCAGAAAACTAAAAGAATGTTCAGGCATATAAAGCATCAAGGCTTGGCAGCCACTTTATTTTGTTTCCACGGTAAGAAAAATGAATGTTGCTCTTTTCCAATTTTGGTCATCAGGGCCACCTTGCATATATGTACAATGAAAGCGTTTCTATTCCTTTTGACATAAATCAAATGCAGGTAGAGCAACAGACCTCTGGATCTTCAAAAATAGCCTACGAGTAATCAGTTTCAACTTTCAGGAATAACCTTTCGAAAGATCTTCTTAAGCAAGTAACAAGACCTGTTCTCATGGCCAATAATTCAACTGAGGTTAAGTTGATGATGCAAATGCTAGCAGAAAAGACAAAGAGCCAAGATACATATATAAATTAGGCAAGCAATTTTTTTCTCCTATCATTTTCTTTTGAAAATTGACTGCATTAGATGATCTGATGCATTCCCTCCTTCTTTCTCGATTTTCTAAAATTAATGTTACACTTAAGCATGATCAATTTCAATTTGGAATATGTCCATCATTTTTTGTTTTGAAAACCTCCCAGATTCAACTATAAATTGCAGAATCTGATGGAATTATTACCCACTGTCAAGCAATGTTATGATGCCTGATGCTGTTATATATGCCATTTCTTATAAATTGATTCAAGGTGTTCCTCTGCCTTTTATTTTATATGATCGATGTCTCGTTAATGGTTATTTTTATCTTGATCTGTTATTTTCATTATGAGTAATAACTTTTGTTTATATATCTGAAAAACTATTTCCTGAATGTTGCTAATTTTGGCATGAGATTGAGAAGTGATATTGCTATTTTTGTACGGTTGTACCCTTAAAGCTCTTTTAGCTCTCTTCTAGTTGCATTTCAGTTTAGGAGTTTTTGTTCAGAATTTCTGTACTCATTTCTCTGTCAGTTGATCTATGTGTCAGTTAGACTGGATCTGGATGACATTCACCAAATCGAACATACTTCTGGTTTCAGCCATGGAATTGTAATTCGCTTAAGATTCAAACTTTTGAGGCATATGGGATTGTAAGAGATTCACACTGGGCAGGGACAAAAGTTAAAAACAGGCAAGTGGAGCTAAACTCCTGAATTTCTTGTTCATTGCTATCACTCAAGCAATATGTTTCTTAATTTATGGACTGATATCTGCAGTTATGTTACTAGACTGTCAGTTGTTTATTTATTTATTTATAAGAATGCAAGGTGCTGATTCAGGTTTTGTCAGGTGATATGGATCTAGAAGAGAGTGTATACATGTATTTCTGTATGTGTGTAAGGAATTGGCAGGGGGAAACACCTACGACCTCCTCCACAAAATTGACAACAACAATTAGTAAATGGAAGAGCAGAAAGTTGTTCTCACCAATGGAAAGAACTATTCTGGTATGTTCCCCAGATCTTTATTGAGACAAGCATTTTGGCTTGCAATTGAGCATATATAGTCTCTTCATGGGTATAATGAGAACTTTTGAAAAAACTGACATTCTTTAAAATTTGGATAATACAGTATGTTATTGAAGATGCTCAACTTGAGTCAGCTTAGAGGACATCTCTAATTCCTTTAGCAGGTAAATCCTTATGAAATTAAAAAATTTAGAAGAATCACGGCTGCAAAGTAGCTTATATAAGAACTTTCAATTTCTAGTTCTTAAGCTTTCTGTACAGATATGTGTAACCTTGCAAGTTGCCTTTTAAGCTTTGCCAAACACACACAATATTGGAACAAAATCTACTATATTGTGACTCTGGGGAGTTTTGAGCAGAAGAACTATTTTCTAAAGTTTTTCTAAAATACGCACTAATAATATTTTTTCCTTTTTGCTTCATCACCGTAATTAATGTCAGCTTATTACAATTGTTTGTTGTTGATGTCATCATAATTTTCAATTTTTAACAAATGGACAGGCAAGCTTGGATGAAAATGAA